GCGCGGATCATTCCAACGAGCTGATTTCGCACATTTTCTCGTACGGCGTGACATCATGAAACGTAGACAAGACAAGTTTTATCACTGGCAAATTGTTTCAAAAATGGCAAAGCGTTGATGTGTGCTTCTTTTTTCAACAAATCATTGCCGTATCATGATTAATTTTCAAAAAACACGAAACATGTAACACGCATGCAGTTACAAAAACCACTCACGCGTTCAGAAATCTGAAAGCAGCTCACCAGCGACAGGTATATCACGTAATTAGTGTGTAAATTTGAAAGTAATTGGTAGCATAAATGTTGTTTTATTGAGCTTCCAAATGTGTATACTTCAAAATGTGACAGAGTATACTTCAAAATGTGACAGAGTATACTTCTATGAGCTGGATTAGCCCGTGTAGTCGCAGACTGTTGAACGCAGCCATTAAGGACGGGCCGTGGGAAAGGGCTCATCCTTTGCTAAGCCGTAAAGACATTTGATAGGCTGTTAGTAGTGTTAGGTTACTCTAGTTGTAAGCGGTGACAACGGTGATTGGATATACGAGCAAGCCGCCAAGTTGATCATCCTGTGTTCATTGCGTGCGGTCATAGCGGTTTCAACTGCTTATTTCATTATCTAAGAAACTTTCATTGACTTTGGGATAGAGTAGGGGGTGGTGGGTGAGAAGGGGATTGGGAGGGGGGCTAAAGCCCGTGAGCCCTTCACTACCCACCGCCACTGGGTAGAGTTAGGGCTAGGGTTTGATTTAGGTTCGTTAGGGTTAGGGTTAGATCTAGGTCTCTTTTTTATTATGTTGTTGGGGTGGTCACTCGTTACAGAAGTCCTTCCCCCCTTTTATTAATATCTGGTAAATGCCCCACCCCCATTTTTTATTAACCCCCCTTTTATTAGGAACCTCAGAGTACACTAACAACTTGGTCTCGTTCTCCCACTTTAGAACAATAACAGGCCAAACGCAAGTATGTTTTTTCGCCGCAGGCTATAAATAGAACAGCTCTCTTCGCTTACACTGCGCGTACCATTGATTGTCACGGACAGGCCGCAAGCTGTACTGTCTGGTTATAGCTGTACTGTCTGGTTATAGCTGAACTGTCTCGTTATAGCTGTACTGTCTGGTTATAGCTGTACTGTCTGGTTATAGCGTCCTT